CAAAATGCTACTTATTCTGTACAGTATATATAGTAAATAATGAAAGTTAAAGTACAAATACTACTTCAATGACAGTCTAACAGTATATAGTAGTCTAACTATAAAAATGTAAAACTAGCCCTGTAACAAATAATATTTGAAGCCTTACCCACATTGGACTTCAATATTGTTCTTACTTACTCCAGTGATATTCTCCCGAAAACTAAAAGTCAATTTCAGCAAAACACAAACTAAATTCTTCATGGTTATATGGCATTTTCTGTCTTGGATGTGAATTTTGGTTTCAAATTAAAGAGAGAGAAGCAGACATTGAGGTGAATTTTGGGGTTTGAGTTGAATTAGGGTTATGAAAACGATAAACCTCTGACTGATACTAGTCTTACAGTTTCTCAACTATTAAATTAGAAGAGGAAGATATTCACATTGAGGTTAGCTTTAAGTGTTGGTATGTGCCCATTTTGGGATACTGTCTCTCATTGGAATTTATACTAAATTGTTAGGAAAGTTTGGAAATGTAAATATTAATTTCACAATGTTGGAAAGCAGAACTATTTAAAGAGGCTTCTAATAAGGATATACAGTATTTTATATCAGAAGATAATACAACTGCTCGTTTTAATTTACGGTGTTATTTTGAGATTCCCTTTTTGTAAATACTAGTAGGGACTATTTCTAGTAAACTGAAATAACACTGTAAACCAAAACAAGATTAAATATAAACATACAGTAGGCTCCAGCTCCCTTGTGACACTGAATTAGAAAGAGCGGTTAGGAACTGGTAGATGGATATTATTTATTTGTTAAATGTATTATTTATATACATGTTTCAAAATATACATGTTTTCCATGGCTGAGGTATAGTGATGCTGCATATCATTTGTGAAGTTTAATTGAGTTTAATTTAACTCATGAAATAGAATAGCCTTCATGTTGTGATTCTTGTAATTGAAAGCATGTTTAATGTCACTACACCTCTATGTTCAATTCTATGTAAAGTTACCAAAATCTGTCTGGGATCAAAATGTATCTATCTTTCTGTGGCTGTGGTATTTGCCATTCCACTGGGAAATAAATGTCATGTCATGTAAAGCCAAACTAAATAATACAATGAAAATCATCAGAATGCGTTGGAGCTCACTGTATTATTGCATTGAAATTTGTAGCTTAATGCTTCATTATGGGGAATACTTTACCTGTGAATGATTTTATGTTCTAGTTTTAAATCATTAAACATAATAAGAAAGATATCTAGTATTAGAAAGTTATGTATTAGTGAAAACGTGATACAAACCTTATTAATGCCTGCCAACCTAATGTCATAAAATGAAGTTCTTCCTACATTTTACATGAAAAAGAAACTCTAAATGTACAGTATGTGGTCACGTACCTGTAAGTGTGTATGTGTCTGTGAATACAACACGATTGGGTGTCAGAGCGTCAGGTGTCCAGCAGGGGGAGTGGGCGTGCAATGTATGAGCTTTTCTGTTGCCTCAGTCTCTTCCTGGGAACAAGGTGGAAATGTTTCCCGGGAATCGACTGCGGAGACAGTGCTGTTGGGCTGCAGGGAGCACAGTCTCTGGAATGACGATTATGAGCTGCAGGATGCTGTCCGTTTCCTGCACAAACAGATCCACAAACTCATCCAAATAGCTGTTTCTCCTCTCATGAAATGAGATGTGCAGCCTGTGAGACACCAATACACTCTTACTCTTAACATACAACTGTGGAACCACAACCACAATGAAGGCAGACATTTTGCTCTTGCTTCACCACAGAGACAACTGCCTCTGAATCATACTGTACCTGTCATTCATTATGCAACACCACTCTGCCTCCCATCCATCTATTTATTAACTGCTTTATGCCGTGCAGGGTCATAGTAGTGTGGAGCCTGTCCTGGGAAGGTTTGAGCGCACAGCGGGATACACACTGGATGAGGCACCAATCCATTTCAAGGCTCACACAGACAAAAACAAGCACACAATCACACCAGGGCCAGTTTTCCCAGAAGGCAATGAACCTACCAGTATATCAGACCCTTTCCAATACACATTGTTGACAATGCTTCAAGGGTGACAGTAAAGTTCTTCTGTAGTTTGTTATGCTTAAGTGTAGATTTGCAATGTACGAGGACATTATATCAGACCGGATGCGTCCATGTACACTACACTATTTATCTATGAATTGGTTTCATTACTCTGCTCTCCTCCCCACTGATAGCTGATGTGTGGTGAGCGTTCTGGCGCACTATGGCTGCCGTCGCATCATCCAGGTGGGGCTGCACATTGGTGGTGGTGGAGGGGAGACCCCATTACCTGTAAAGCGCTTTGAGTGGAGTGTCCAGAAAAGCGCTATATAAGTGTAAGCAATTATTATTATTAGTAGTAGTAGTAGTAGTAGTAGTAGTAGTAGTATTATCATTATTATTATTATTATTGTCTTTGGACTGTGGGAAGAAACCAGGACACCTGGATGAAAACCACACAAACACAAGGAAAAAATACAAATCCTCTGCAAGGCAGCAATGCTTATCATCATGCGACCATGTTGCAGCCCATTATTGATATTCTGATCTTAAATAAACACCATATTTTTATTTAGAACACAGAGAATGTCCAAATAGGTGTGTGGTTAAACTCTGCCATCTAGTGTAGATTGCTCAGATTTTCCATTGAGGAAGAGACCTAATTCAAAACATTTTATTTAAAGAAAGTTATGATCACATTTGTTGCTTTTATTTGGTATAGTTGGCCCTGTATGATATTCTGTTCATTAATGAAAGAGAATCTTCATATATATTGCTGAAGGTAAGGGACTTTCTTTACTTTGCTTCTGTAATACAGAAAGATGGAAGCTTGAAATGATAATCGACATGAAAATCTGACTCACTTTGGTCCATTTTAAATCCTAAAAGAAGCAAAACCTTTGTCTCAGACCCTGTTTTTATTTGCCAATGGTTAGCAAAAAAATGAAATAGATAAACAGTGCAATAGAAGTAATAATGTACAACAGCAGTAATTTTTAGATTATTGTTTCATGCCTTTCTAACATAGCTGCTTATTTCTAAAGAGAAATACACAGTACTGTTTAAACTGGGACATAGTTTAACATCAAACAAGTTGCCACATAGTGGGAAATTAGTGTAATATTTTGGGCATCACAACAGTAACTCTTGCCTGCTACATTAAAAAAGCCTGAATGTATTGCAGTCTTGCAAAGTTTTGAATAGATGTTTGTCCACATCTGAAATTCTGACATAGATTTTCTGAATGTGCATGTTCTCACCAATACTTATGTTCCAGACACTAGCACTCTAACATTGCGAAAGATAAACAAGTTAATACAGTATGTGCTTTAAATTAGGGAGAACATAATGACTCAAAAGAGGAGAGTTTTTGTTCATTCTTCTTGCTGAACAGGCCAGTCATAAGGACAATTATTTGATTTGCTTTTTTACGGATGACTTTGTGTCTCACACATTAATTAATGAGTGGTAGAGGGAGAAAGTCAGTTCAAATGTTTTGCTTAGGAGAGGTGGGAAGCATTACACCTCAGAGGATCTACTTGAGGTTACTAACTAGGCTCTTCAGAAATACACCTTTGTCTGATTCCTGTTTCTGATCTCGCCCTTTTGTGTTGAAAACATTTCCGTCGCTTATGTCACAGAACTGTGAGCAAGTTATGTCAGTAACTGTTCATTATTGGTAGAATTTTATATTTACCAGACCAATAAGAAAAGTAAATATGATAAGCTTAGTAATATAAAGGATTAATCACATTAATCAAACTGACAGGCATATATCTGAACTTTGAAAGAATAAATGAGACTACTATAAATAGTTCAGAGCTTTGTATGTACTGAGTGGTTTAAATGCTACATCCAGAAATACCAATGCATTCTCTAGCCAGACACCCTGGGCAGAGACTAATGGAAAAAAGTATGAATGTCAGCAGTATGAATCTAAATATGCCATTACCGTCCCTATGTTTCTGCTACCCACATCAATGTGCATTAAGCTGTTAATGGCACTGAAGGCATTAGATGAATCCTTAATTAGTATTCCATGTATTGGAAACAAAAGTAAATACTGATAGAAATATATTCATGGTACATTAAAGATTACCAGTTCATTTAAAAGGTTGCAGATAGTGATCAGTTGAGTCATCACAAATGTGGTTTATCCTAGTAGAACAGGTTATAAGTCTTTTTTTGTCGTTCATAATTAAAAATGAACAAAATTAACTTAACTTCAATATTTGTCTTTTACTGCACTAACACGGGTGGGACTTTGGCATGAGGCTTATTTTTTGTTCAGCAGGCTCCAATAAGGTGCTCCTTAAGCTACGTCGTACTTCCATTTTTCCCCTTCTTCATGATTATCACTCTGATACACTTGCACTGACTTACCTGGTCAGATAGTGTTACGTTGAGGCTGAATTGTCCCTACAGCTCTATTTCCATGCAGGGTGTCTACATCAAAATCTTCACCAACATTGCAGGGGGTCATATGTTTTCCCAGTTTTGCTGGAATTGTGAAGATTCAAAATTGGATTTAACAGCATTCGGCTCCTTTAACACAAGGTCTGCAGAGGTCTCGGCTCATATCAGGCAACTGTCATACCAGTTCAAATGGAATAACAGAACAGAGTAGCACCTCTAGGGTGTCCCTGGTTCACAAAGGCCCTGACTTACACAAGATTTCATTAAGTGACTCTCTGGGCCACCAGAGAAAATACAGGCTACAAAAGTCATGAAAGGTTTACTTCATAATTTAGACTCAAGGTCATGAGTTTATTCATTCTTTTTAGCTAAATATACATCTAACCTAACTCTCCCTTAAGCCTAAGTATTGCCATTGTGTACAGAATCCAGATGTGAACAGGCAAATAAAAATATTTTTTATATCCTTAGCTGTGAAAGTAACTCAGTAACTAAGAATATGGCTTGTGTTAGAAGTGAGAACTGTTCGGAATTAGTAGTAAAAACTAGATAAAAGAGAAACCATTGCTGTCCACTTTTATTTCACATATTATAGCTTAACAAAGACATTACACAATTGGCACTCTTTCAACAGCACAATACAAAATAAATATATCTTGATTCAAACATTCATAAGACTGTTCAATTGCACATCGGGGACTTACTACATATTACACTAAATATTAACACTCATTTAATTGGCGAGTCAAGTATCTCTTGATAATCCTGTCTTCTTCCCCTTCCCGCCCAATATAGCTTAACTCCCGTGAGAACAAAAACACTGACAATAATGATCAAGCCACCAATTACATCATAAACAGATGGGATCATACGTAATACTAGAAGCTGGAGGATCATGGCTACCACGATTTCTAGGTGCTGGACTGTGCTGACCAGTGCGGGATGGAATTTATTTAAAGCATAATAAACCCCTAAGAAAGCGACTGTGGAGCAAATGCAGATGCCGATCAGATAGCCCCAGGTTTCACCATCCAATGGAATGATTGGCTCTTGCAGGATGAACATAGTGGAGGCTCCCCAAACCGTACCTGTCCAGCCAAAAGTGAAGAGGGCAGTCCACATGCTGACTTTTTCCTTGATGGCTCTGTAAACAATCATTGAGAGGGCTGCGGTTAAGCCTGCCATCACGGTCATGGTGTAGCCAAAGGCTTCCTTCCAGAACCCGAGAAGGGACTTGTCTTCATCAACAATGTTGGGGATCATGACCAAGCACAGCCCGAACACGCTGCTCACCACTGTCACAATATCGGTGTAGGCCATTCTCTCGTCGATGAGGAGGAATGCCAAAACGGCGCTGAAGACTGTGGTGGTGGCTCTCCACATGATGGTCCCATTGCTCGGGGGCACGATCGCAAAGGAGGTGTAAGCACAGGTGATGGAGATGACGTTGCACACTCCATAGAAGAAGAGGCGCAACCTGTATCCTTTAGGCCCGAACGGAGCTTCCTGGTAGTAGCAGACTACAACCACAGACAGCACTTGGATCACAGAGCGGATGAAGAGCAGTTCCAGGGAGGGCACTTTGGATCGGTCGGCTGCCAATCGGGTGATCAGTGCCACACACCCATGAGCCAAAGCCGCGCCAAACAGGGCTGCCCACGTCACCCTGGAGGTGAACACAGAGGAATCTGCAAAGCTCTGCAGCTGCTCGCTCACCCCATTGTCCCTCGGCTCGGTGGAAAGCTTGGGGCGCGCATCCATCGTGCCAAAGAAAGTTCTTCCCTGCCTCTTGCTGTCGCTCAGCAGTTTCTTGTTCGGGTTATCGTCAACGAAATTCCCAAAATCCTCAAAAGAAGGTGCGTCGTCGTACCCTTCATCGCCAGGCTGCGGGTAATGGGTGGTATATTTCACTGTTACCGTGTTGGGATGAATCTTAACTCTTTTCTTTGGGCCATACTGTTGCTTGGAGGGTGATGTGTCCATTTTTCTTCAGCTAGGGGAAAGATCTAGAAGGAGTGTAGATCACAGTTAGACTATTATAAGGACTCAAAAAACATGAGTCTCTAATGACAGGTAAATAAATGAACATTCTATCAAACCAATTATTATAGTACATAAAGAATAAAACTACGTGTTCTTTTAAAAATCAATGGTATTTTTACTTTACATGCATAAAATCTATTTATTGCTCTTTACTGAGGGATAACACAACTTTTCACTCTGTGATTAATTTTCATAGTTAACAGTGCTCAATAAAAGGTGTGAAAATATTCAATTATCACTCTTTAAATATATTAAGATACAAAATACAGTAGTTGAAAAATTATCTCTAGCTGTATACAAGATTGTCGGGGACATATTGAATAACAGAGCCAACAGTGTTTGTCTCAATGAAGGAATTAACAGAAATGTCTCCTAATTAGTTAAATACTAAGTTTAAATTCTGTATTTTCTATTACCTTTATATAAAGATTATATTATATAAGTTTTCAGTTCACACTGATCTCAGCTTTATTCATATCAAGATGTAAATTACATTTGTAATGATAAATCACATAGCACCAATGCTTATATTTTAATGGTAGGTATATATCTTCTATGAATTATGTTTTTAATGGTAAATCTTCTATCAATAAAAATTGAACTCTCTGAAGGAGACTTTGCTCCTGGAAGAAGCTGGGGGTAAACAGAAACGATGATAGAAATAAATGGCCCTGAAGGGAACAAGTAATAGGTTTATTCCATGCTGAAAAAAGAAGAAAGAGAACACAACGTTTCGGCTGGGGAGCCTTCTTCAGGTGTGAGAGAGACAGGGCAGTAGGCAAAGGTAAAGTAGCGGGAGAACAAAGGTTGAGAGGGAGGAGGAGTGAGAGGCGGGAGCAGGGGACAGAATCTTCTTGATTGGCCTCTCTTTCTGTCCCCTGCTCCCGCCTCTCACTCCTCCTCCCAACCTTTGTTCTCCCGCTACTTTACCTTTGCTACTGCCCTGTCTCTCTCACACCTGAAGAAGGCTCCACGGCCGACGTTGTGTTCTCTTTCTTCTTTTTTTCAGCATGGAATAAACCTATTACTTGTTCCTTTGCAGCCTACGCATGCTGACGCAGCTACCCACCTGAACTATAAATGGCCCTGAACTGTTATCTTCAACAGAATTGCCCCAGGCTGTAGTCAAGAATAGTGCCAATTGCCTTGAACCGTCAAAAACAGAACTAACTGCCCTCAGCTGTAGTAAACAACACAGACCTGTGTCAACTGCCCTGAGCTGTGGTCAAGAACAGATCAAATCACCCTGTGCTGTGGTTCAAAACAGAACTAACTGCCCTGAGCTGCGGTCAGGAACACAGCCAACTGCCCTGACCTATCATCAACAACAGAACCAACTGCCCTGAGCTGTGGCCAAGAACACAGCCAACTGCCCTGACCTATCATCAACAACAGAACCAACTGCCCTGAGCTGTGGTCAGGAACACAGCCAACTCTCCGAGGCTGAAAATGGTGAAGAATGAATCATTCTAAAATGTAGTCATCAGAGGTAAGGACGGTATTGAGAACGCTGCAGATAGCGAAGCTAATAGCCCAGTGCTGTGGATAGCAACAGCCCTTCCAGTGTTATTTTACAGCTTCACAAGTTAATATACCCACATGTGAGCACTTGATTCATTTCTGCAACAAGAAATACAGATTCCCTAGAGAACGGTATGGTGGGGTGCAGTTTTTCTACACAGGACCTAAAATGTAAAAGAGGAAATCACACAATGCAGTCATGCAGCCTGGTTGCAGGGCATCCAAAAAAAACAGCCCATATTCTAAAACAGGTCTCTACAGGTCACATGCTTCGATGTTGTTCCATCGTTTATATAATAGCTGTACTACAAACCAATGTGAACCCTGTCTGTTTGCCTGTCTACTACAACTCAGCTTCTGAATTTCATTAGATACATTTCAAGGGCCGTTTGAATAGCAAATGGTCTGAAGATATAGACATATAAAGTCATCATACTAAGCATGTTTGAGAAAGATAAGAAGGCAAAGATTACTTTATTCTTTAATTTGTGGAGATCGTATGACACCTGATTCTCTTCATTTTTTGTAGGTGCACTGGTAGTGTAACCTTGAGATTTGTAGTACATTACATTTCACCATTTTTTCCCCAAAGTTATTTAGAAAAAAATGTTCATCATTGCATAATCTATACAAAAGACAAAACAGTTTAGTTTTGTGCAAAGGCAAAGACATCTTTAGCAAAAAAGTAGACAAACTATATTTGCAAATAAATGTTTACAGTTTATGAAGGAATAAATTGGCACAACAAAAATATCAAAAGGGTTATTTATAGTTGGCCACAAGGGGGCAGTAATAATAGAGTTTTCTTTTTTTACATCTTGACTGAGCTTATGCATGTCCCAGTGCATTGCAGCTACAATGACACATCCATGTTCAGTGCTAATTGAGTGAATATGCTTGATGGCTTAATTAACGCGTGATATATTTTACTTATTAAAATATGGACACTTATTGTTGCCTTCATGATGCACAGCATATGATAACCTAAGAAAAAGGATACATGTAGAATACCGTCTTTAAGTATTCGGGCGGCTATCAGTCCACATTTTATACACACCCGTCCACACTCATATGAAAAACAGTCAGACACCGTCATGTACAAAAGCAGAGCTGTTATCTTTCCTTCGATTAATGGTATAACGCGAAAACATTTCACCATAGAGCTCAAAACATATATAAAGCAAGCTTATTTATTATTTTAAGCCAAACATATTAAGACAACAATTCTGTCAAAAAGACGTGATTAAGTTTATATTAAAGACCATATAAGACATTTAATTAAATAACTCCAGCATCGTTCATATGATGCAGTTAGACAATAATTTGCTTTAGTATATTTTTCAGCATTTTTGGCTACTCTAATCCATCCACCTTAACGAGGAATAAAATTAATATTTATACGGTTCCATTACTATTGTACTGAAAGAACACATTATTTCTAATCGCTCGTAAATGATCATACGAGATTTTCTTACTGGCGTACGGCTCTTTTTTATTTAAGAAGTAAAAAAAAAGATTTCTTGATAGGTGTGAAATGATAAAACGTGCAAACCAACATTTCATAACGCACGAACGCAAGGATTTGCTCAGGTGTACAGAGCAAGTTATAACGGATCCTGTAAAGGTGAACGATCTTTCTATAATCTGGGGAACAACCTCAGTGGTGACTCAGAAATATTCAAAACTAAATAAAGAGCCATTCTCACCTTTCTTCCTTGAAACAATAAAGATTGATCCGGCGTCAAAAACTGTTCTAATATCATAGATTAAAGAGGGCAATATCTTGCTGTCCAGAAATGGGTATTTGCTTTTCCCATTTCTCCATTTTTTTTTTCAAATGATTGTAGAGAGCGCTCCCCAAAGACAAGCAACTTGCATTGACTGAAGCCTCCGCGCCTTCCAACCTCAACCGGCCAGGCTCCGTGGCTCCTTGAGAGCTCTGCAGGTTATAGGGATGGAGCTGCGGATTCTCGCGTTTCAAGTCTCGCTCCCATTTCCTCCCAACCTCGGATTCAAATGTGCCACATGAAGGAGCAGAGGGGGGCAGAAGAGATGCCCCTCTTTCTGAGCATGCGCCCGGGAGGCGAGAGTTTCTTTAGCGCATACTAGCATCTTTCACCTTGCAGCCTGTAAAATATGAGGACGTTTACATTTGTTTCCACCGCCTTCTAGTTGTTTTAGAATTGCAGAAGGTATAAATAATAACAGGCTCTTACGTTGGCGACATCAGGTAACCCACATAACGCCACATAACGCTCCCTCCCCAGTTGCCTATTAAGTCACAGTAAATTTACATTTACAGAATTCTGTTAAGACAGAATATAGTGCATAAAAAGGTTACAAGCAATGATTATGTTATGATCGTTACTGGCAGTAACCACATCCTAGTTACTTGCAGTATTCGTATTATGTAACGTCTTAAAAGATTTATGTATAGTTCGAGCTAGACCAAATGTTTCTAAATAAAGAGTTCCCAGGAGAACCCATCTGTTCCTGCAAGCTGATAACTTCACGTCTTCCTTGTATAAAGAATCACCTCCAGAGATGCCACCCTGCACAAGTGATGTATCATTTCTTTAATACCCCAACCGATGTAATGTAGTATTGAAGTACAGTGTGGGGGACAGAGTGAGTAATTAGATGTATTTTTGAAATTATTTGTTCAGTTACTAATATATACTGCTCCTCTTATTTGTTTGTATACTATCTACGTTTGGAGTGAGGGAACAGGTTTGGTACCCAGATAACAATAATGGTCTTTAAACTTGTCCAGACCTGTGAAGGATGTTGTATATGAAAATTAGGTTTTATCTTAGGAGCAGCAATGATATGAACTTCCTGACACTCTTCTGTCTGAACCATCAAATTCAGTATGCTATGACACCTGTTTTCATCTTTAAGGAGATTTTAAGTTTGGCACAAATTACTAACAATGTGATCCTGTCTTTAAAGTATCGTCAAATGTTTTTAGCAGGCTGATCAATTCAAATCTTGTATTCTTTTCATCCTTTCTTTCCAATCTAATTATAGAAGATCACATGAGTTTTAATTAATTCCCTCTGTTCCACTTTCCATATTTTTACATATTCAAAGACTGTGGTGGCAACTTTGTTGAAAAGACCACACAATTATATGAACTGTAGTAGTTCTGGTGGGTAGCTGCGTCAGCATGCATAGGCTGCAAAGGAACAAGTAATAGGTTTATCCCATGCTGAAAAGAAGAAGAAAAAAAACACAACATTTCGGCTGTGGAGCCTTCTTCAGGTGTGAGGGCTCCACAGCCGAAACATTGTGTTTTCTTTCTTCTTTTTTTCACCATGGAATAAACCTATTACTTGTTCCATAATTATCTGTTCTTTCTACTTCTTGATATTCTTGAAAACATAAAAAAAGCATTTTTTGAACTTGATTATGTGTTGGAGGCTGATGTCCAGAACAAAAATGTCAGGCAATTTAAAACTGGAATGTGGTCAGAATTCTTACAAGGTTATATACTGTAAATTGTTATTTTAACAATACTTTGCCACTTAATTGAGCTCCCCAAGCAGAAATCTTGCTTTAGTACTTATTCTACCATTAATTTTTCTAAGAGTTACTTAATGTTCTTGCACATTGCATTTTGGAGGAAAAGCTGAATGCATTACACATTTTATTATATTTGCAACTCATAATGTGGTATTTTTGCTGGGACATAATGACATCAGATGTAACAGAACAATAGCAGAACAGAACTGTGATAAGGTATTGTAATATCAGGAATGACAGAGCCATAAGTACTTTAATATGTTTTGAAAAAATATATACATCTAGACATGGCAGAGTGCATCTAGACTCTATTTGTGTCCAGTATCTCTTAATTGTTTTTCTACTTAGAATATGTCATTAACCATAGAAGGATAAACACTATCCATTTGAAGTGGAGATCATGTTTAAATGTCTTACATTTTAAAATGTTAGGAGTGGACACAGGATAATTTGCTGCTACTGACTTACAACATAAGTGTTAATAAAAAATAAACATTTTGCTTTTGCAGGCAGTAGTGACTGGGAATTCCAGTGAATTCAGAATTCACATTGAAAATGAGCTGCAGCATTTTCTTATGAAAAAAAAAACGTATAAGCAAATAACCATGGAAAACATTTCAAACATTTTTTTTAAATTAACCAAAAATGAAATTTATCCAGCTTAATCTCAAAATGTGTTTACAGTATAAAAGAAAGGTCATTTTCAAGGACATTTTCCACACAGAACCAATGTATTCAACAATGATATTTTAATAAATTTACATGAAAAGAGCAGTAAATGAATAATGTAACTTTTTACACAACTTCTTCACTGATTAATATGTAATGTCATATGTGCTTATATTCAGGCCTTATTACCAAGAGCTGAACTAAGCGCGTCTAATAAGATAACGGGTATCATATGATGGTTCCATCCCTGTTCCCTACCAATGTCAAAGGGCGATTCTGAATGCTCATACCCCAAGGCATAATAAAATAAAACCAACTTTAAAAGTTTCTCTTTGTTTTCTCTCACTATTAAAGGGTATTTTAAAAGCCCCTTGACCTGCCATTTAAAATGCTTAATGACCCACCTCCCCCATAACATAAAAATATAAAATAATTTTCATTTAAAATAGTACATTTAAACATGATTGGAAATTTCTAAGTATTAGAAATACAGGCTGACAATACACCAGTACTCTTTTGGTTCAAATAGTTAGAGAGTCTTCCAATTAAAAACAAATACATTGATAATGTCTGTGTGTTTTTTAAGTTGTAGTAACCAGTTGTGACAAGGAAAGTAAGGTGCTCATTAGCTCACAGTTTTGCTCATTAGTTTTCCTCCAAGCACAGTTGCAGGGCAGAAACCTGTCTTTCCAGTGTGCGTCTGCATTATTATTTAATGATTTTGTCAATTAGTTTAACTTCCCCTTTCTTCACTGAGATAAGCCTGATGGCACCTTGTTTCATTCCTTTATTGATTGTATTATTAACCACCTAACCAGACATGTCTTATGTTTTTCAGTTCTGTTTTCATTTTTTAATTTTCATCTGCCCCACAAAAAAGTCTGATTTTGATAGGACCCGTAAAAGGTACTTTTACAGTAATGCAGCAATAAACTCTGTTGGGTCTGGTCTTTTGATCTAGTTATACCAAACAGAGACTTCATTTCCAGAACCAGCTGACAAAGTACTCAGGTGGGCCACTCACATAATATGATCCCATTGAACGTAACGCTGTCACATTGGGAAGGTTGTTGTTTAAGGTGGATCTTATAGTGACTTATGACACTGAAGACGGGAGTCTTAAGAGAGTTATCCCTGAGATCAGATTAAATCACATCTTTGATATACAGTACATATCATTTTTAACGTTGATGCCATTTTTGCCTGGGACTTCTAGCATCATTCCAGTTAAATCTGCCTTCAAGTTCCTGGTTTTGAATGTTTTGATTTAATCTACATCTTGGTCTCCATGTGTTAATTCTCATTTCAGTAGTTATGTTAAATCCTAATGAATGCAATAGAGGCATGAAATACTGTATGTAGATCTTACATGGCGTGACTCGCCTCTCTGAGGAAGTTGCAGCCTAGCTGTAAGGACTGAGCTGGGGAGCTGTTGCAAGTGTAGATGGGGAGATGTGAGAGAGATACGCAAAGGGAAGTCCTGGGCAGGAGACCTATATACATAGATAGGCAGAAGTGTGTGAGATTAAAATGTAAACTTCCTTTTTGAATGTCTGTTCATAAACTCCATTCAATCACTTGTTTATTTAAATAATCCCCTCCTAATAATTCCCATCTATGAATTGGCTTCATTACTCTGCTCTCCTCCCCACTGATAGTTGATGTGTGGTGAGCGTTCTGGCGCACTATGGCTGCCGTCACATCATTCAGGTGGATGCTGCACATTGGTGGTGGTGGAGGAGAGTCCCCATTACCTGTAAAACCTTTCAGTGGAGAGTCCAGAAAAGCGCTATATAAGTGTAAGCAATTATTAGTAGTATTATTAAATTTATAATCCGCTCCGTTTTCAACACTACTCTTAAAAAGCCTTTACCTATACATCAGTCTATAACACAATAAACACTTCTTTCTGGCTTAATTTCCCTTAATTCTTCCATGACCTGCACTGTTTGTCAAAGTGATACCTGTATTACTAGCTGGTACTCAACCATTCATCCATTGTCTATCCACTTTTTCCAGTTTAGGGTTGTGGGGGAGCCAGAGTCTATCCTGGCAAGCAATGGGTATAAGACAGGTACACCCTGGACAAGACATACAGACACAAATACACACACCAGGGTCAATTTTCCCAGAAGCCAATTAACCTACATGGAAGTTTTTGGTCTGTGAGAGGAGATAGGAGCCCATGAAGGAAACCCATGCAAACACAGAGACAATAAACAAACTCCATCCAGAGAGCTTCTCAAGATTTGAACCCAGGGCTCCAGTGCTGCAAGGCAGCAGTGTTAACAGGTGTGCCAGCTGGTATTCATTTTATTTTCCAGTTTTGCCATATTTTCTACTCTACAAAGTAGAGACGCCTAGGTAATCAAACTGGTTTTGTTCTTGTGTTGCCTGAAACAAAGTGGATTTGTGCAGATACTTTCCCATTTTCTTAATTTCCAAATTGTTTGAATGTTCACTTGCCTATTATTATTTTTTCTCCGTTTGATGTCTGTTCAATTCACGCTAAGAAATTCAATGAAAATTTATGCTTCCATCAGCCAAATCTCTAATGTCAAAGCCTTAGTTTTTAAGTTCACTCCCCACCGTGTGACTAACATATGGTCATTCTTTGTAAATTAAAATGTGTTTCTGCATTTTACCAAGCAGACAGCTGCCAAGCTGTTTCATCTCCTGCTGACCTTCCAGAAATAATCAAAGCAAACAACCAGTGAAATACTTCTTCTCAAAAGCTGGAAATAAACTGTAACAATTGCTCATAAACTGGGACAGTTTCATATAAAATGAATGCTGAATCTTCATTATCAGTTATAGGACACAATAATCCCCAGATGACAGTCTCTGAAACTTTATAACCTTCTTCTCCATCACTGACACAGAGATAGACAGATACACAACAAAAATACTGCAGCACCTGTGTTTTCTAAGTTAAATTTAAATTGTATACTATGTAAAAGCAAAAAGTGTATTGTGACATGTATTTACTCTTATCATTATTAGTAGTAGTGGTATTAGTAGCAGTAGTAGCAGCATTAGCAAACATGGTTTGTTTCCAGCATATTGTTTATACCATTGCCTTAATTTAAATATGAAAAAGGCATCTAAAATACAAGATAATAATTTTGTGAGGTGTGTTAGTATTTGTAATAAAATACAATCTGTAGGAGTAGAGCTATGGCAGATTGAATAAGGAGTATCCTTAACGGTAAAGAAAAAAAAATAAAGTAACTTTATAAATGAGAAATATGCTGCTACCAAGCAAAAATACCCACAAATCTAACATGACACACAGGCAAGAAAAATTCTGAATATGTTGAAGAAGAAAATTATTAGTCAACTAGGGGTGTAGCAGACCCCAGAACAAATAGACCTGGCTAAAGGACTATGAGTTTCTTCTAAAGTGAATTCCAGTTTGATTAGTCCACGTACACTTCATCGTTGTGGTTTCACACTGCACTTTCCCAAATCCACTCTGCCATGCTGCTGTTTCCTTGAGCACAGGTTTTCTCAGAAAACACTTTCCATCATGAAGAATACTTTATGTGCTGTGCTCATCTGTTTCCTACACAAAACTGCAGAAGAGCTTGAACATGCCAAATGTATTGTTGCATATACAGTATACAGTATGTGGGAAAGCTATCACTTGGTAGAGATACTGTACATCAACAAGTGGAATGTAAAAGGAGTTTTTTATATGAAGGAAAATTGTACTACGCTTTACTATGTCTTTACTGGTAATCTTGCTATCCCACTTTGGTATTTGTGTTTGGTGTGGTTTGTTCCCTAGTCACATTCTTCTTTTACATTACAAAACGTTTTCGACGGACCAAAGCTGCAAATGAAATGAGTTGCTTCTGTTTCAAGTAGCCTTGGTTTGCTTGGTTAGATTCTCATTCTGGTGCAATTATGTCACCATCAGAAGTTTCACATGTACTGTAACTCCAAATGAACTGAATGGGAAACATCATCCATTGACACCAGCACTTCATAAAGGCTTCACCTAATATAGCACAGTCGTGCCATCAGGGACAGAGAGCTGCTCTTCCCAGATCAATACAGACACTAATTCAGTTCCTGGAAGTAACATTCCAAAGTGAGTGGAATCAACCATGTATTGTCGTGTATTTCCATGACCAGAAAAGTTCATGGAAAAAAAACAACTGGAAAATGACAGCTGTACTTTCAGTTTGCAGAGAGAGAAAAAGCAACTGATTGTGGAAAGTATCTTTAGTTAACATAACTGAAATGACCAGCATCTGAATGAGGCTCCCAAAATATTAATACAATTCTCACATATTCCCACGTCACATTTTATTTTAACCAAATAATCAAAAAGCCAATGATTTATACCATGCCAAAAACATCTAGCTTTATTCCATATGATGCCCAGCTTAGAAAAAATAATATTTCCAGTATTATTATTATATGTACTGCTGTAAACGATCTGAGCCTAAACATTTTAACATTTACTTCCACTGTATCCAGTGCACATATATTGTGAAAAAATGTATCATAATGTCATTACCATGTTCTCATAGCAACAATCCATTAGTTGTGTTGATATGTTTAGAAGGTGTGCTTGTCTGAGATGGAGGGTGGGGGTTTTCCAGATGTCAGGGCATGCAGTTTCCATGGTAACCCCTGACAAAAGATGAAGGTTTGCTGTCTTGTGTTTGTTGGTTTCAAAAGTTTATTTTCTTATACATTTTTCTTGATTTGATATACTGTAACTGCATCCACAGAAGCTTTAAGCCTGCAGTTCCATTTCCACATTGACTTCCTCTCAGACATTTTTATGGAACTCGCATACTTGATCTAGATCCTCAAGGGTCAAAATGCTTACACCTTCGCCATTCATGGGATTTATAATAATACTTAATGTCTTTCTCTTTCCAGACAAAAACACAGCTTTTGTGTAACTGCTCATATTTCACATATTTATTAAGAAACAGCTACACCACAGATGGCACACTCCACATTTCAGAGCAGTTTTAAGATGTTCAGCTGGGAATATTGCAACTATGTGACACACAGAGTTAGTTGATTTCTCTAGTGCAACTGATTAAGAGACTGAAAAGTTTAAATAATGGGGTGTGAGTGAGAGACTATGAAAGTACTACTGTTGGTTGTGTGTTAGTGGGACAGTTAAAAAAGTGACTGAGAAGGAAAATGACTGTACAGTCTTCCCTGAGAGCTGACCAAAATCTTGGATCTTGGATTTTAGATCACCTAAAATGTGAAAAAACTAACGTGACACACTGGCAGCACCAGACTTGTGTGTGACCTGCAAGCTAGTGTTGACACAATATTCATTCAACATCTGGTTTATTTAGGGATGTACTGTTTTCTGCACTGCAAATATTCTCACTTAGTATTATCACACTTCAGTACCTTTCAGGAAACCAGATGTCCTGCTCTCTAGTGAGAATACGACACAGACACTTTTTAGAAACAAAGATTTTTTTCATGCACAAAGAAAGCAAGGGAATACCTGTTAAAATAATCTCTATTACACACGCATATGAAAGTGGAGCATGTGGAGAATGAATTAAAATGGGTAATGAAAGGGCTGTTAATGCTTAAACTGTTGCAATAGCAATTTATTGAATCGCATTGCAGCAATTATTAGCACAAAAGTTAAGCATGGTACCTTATTTGCTGTTTTTGTCTCAGACTACCCTTTTTTCTCCTAGTCTTATTTATTTTATCATTACACATGCATTGATGTGATGGTAAACTCTTCTTATCTGCTGCTGAAGCTCAGTACTGGTCCGATAACCAGTCCCAGTGCATCCCTGACCATATTCTTATTAGAAACCAATGATGGCCTACTTTTGAACTCCAGTGCAAATAAAACAAGGTAATGAAAAGCCTGCTGCATCCATAAAATACATAATACTGTCCTTCACTGTGAAATCAATACTGCTTGTATTTGTTCAGAGACTGTCTCTTCCAGCACAATATGTATTTTCCTTGAGTGCAGTTCTCCATAGTTACTTTGCTGTAGATTTCTGTTTAATAGCAGATGGCATCTGATTTAATGGAGTTTACTTAGACAAAGGCCTTAGCTTTTATCACTTCATTGCATTTTATTATTACTAATTGATTTGACTGATGCTTTTACCCAAAGATTTTTCCCTTGGCACCCATTTATATAGGTGGGTACTATACTGGAGCAATTCAGGTGAAGCACCTTACTCCAGGCTTGAACAGTACTGCCACACTTGTGATCTGAACACACAACCTTAACCTACTGTTTAACAATATAGTGCACATTGCAAACACAAATCTACTTTTCCTTATTTTGAGTTTTTGAAAAGAACTTTAGGCAATACTGTGACAGGAAAATTCCTAGAAAGTTTAAGTGCAAAATGTACAAGACTGTGATTAGACCTGTACTACTGTATGGAGCTGAATGCTTGGCAGTTGGAAAGAGGGAAGAGAACGTGATGAGAAGAACTGAAATGAGAAGATGCGAGAGGCGAGGTTACGGTGGTATGGACATATCATGAGGAGGGACATTGAGGAAGTAACAAAGAGGGTAATGGAATTTGAGGTGGAGGGTAACAGGGGAAGAGGCAGGCCTAGAAAGAGATGGATAGATTGTGTGAGAAAAGATATGGAGGTATGTGAAGTGAGTGAGGAAGATGTGCTCGACAGAGACAAGTGGAGAAGAGCAACCAAAGCAGCTGATCCCAGGACACTCTGGGGCTAAGGCTGTGAAAAACAAGAAGAAGAAGAAGAAAAGAACTTCAGTGAACACCCACACACTTGTAGGTTAATAGCAGTGATTTTCCTCATGTTCGGCTGATGTGCAGTTTGTATTATTATGTATTAGGACTGGTGTGCAAACCCACTGACTTTCGGCCTCAGGAGGCACAGACCTTCAGATTGGGTTCAGATTTGATGACCACGTCAGTAGCCGGATTTTCATGTAGTGGGAAAAGACTAGGGCGTTAAGCTTGAAAATAGTGCTTTAGATTCCATAAAAAAACACCATTCAGCACAATGCTTAGGTTTTGCTTGACAAGTACAGTATGTCTTTTGAAATTGTGACTGTACAACGAAACAATAACCTCTTTTATTATTCCGGTAAAGTTCCATTCATTAAAATGAATTTAATGTTTAACCTAAACTGTGCTTCATGTGCATTTTTGAGATTTTAGGATTAGTTGGCCTATACAGTTGTTGTGGGAAATCCTTTATCCAAGGAGCAGGACACAGTCTTTGTGGATTCAGTTGTTTTATTGAGCTCAATAATGACATCATCGTGCGTTGGGTCTGCCCCGCAGGACAAACCAACTGCAAGGGTTTCCCAGCTCTTATATACAGTATGATCTCAGGAAGTTGTTTTGTTTCAGCTTCATGTGTATTCGTCTTCCCCTTTGATATGTAGCACTAGTTGACCGGTTGGTCCTGTCTCAAGTCCTGTCCTTTGATGTGTAGCTATCCTTTGATATGTAGCATGAGATGACCGGTTGGTCGTGTCTCAAGTCCTGTACTTTGATGTGTAGCTGTAATTGTTGGAGCTGCTTAAGATATGTTAATACAGCCGACACATTACACAATGTGCTTGAATTAAATTGTTGTGTTGAATACATATAAATTATATATATATTTTCCATCAATAATATATATAAGTATGTTTTATGTTCTACTTCACAGTATAAACAGTTATTAGTTTGATCAGTTCAACAGCTTCCTTGAAAAAATACTTTGTTTTGGAACTTTCTCTGAAGTCTTTATTCTTAAGAAATGAGCCAGCTGGTCCATCAAAAGAGGTATATGAAATGCAAAACATTACAGTAATTCTTGTTCTATTTTTCTTCTCATAATTTCTCCTGTGATAATATCACTAGCCAGGCTGATTAAATTTTCATCTGGGGCAGGAGAGCTGCTCACTACGTCACAGCTGCAGCTCACTTACCAGCACGCCGTTACAATTAAATTTCAAATAAGAGAAGCCGCAGGTCATGGGGGGAGAGTTCTGCTCTGTAGATGGACACGTGCTGCTTCACAGCTGACAGAATGAAGTTACAATAGAGAAGAAATAACCAAACAGGATAAATATGTTAAAAACAACACCCTCCTGTTGTCACATACAGTACAGCACTGTATTGTTTATATTTCTATATTGTTTAAGAATGACATTTCAATAACACATTGACCCTTTAAGTCATTTATTAAATAAACCCCCCTGTCATAGTAATAAACACAAAGAAATTGATTACAGGACATTAGCAACAAGATTGCTTTCTGAAGGGACTGTTTACAGATTTCAGAAAGTGAAAATAATTAAACGTTTGCAACCTGATTTAATATTTTGATTAAACAAGTAAGCTACTTTAGATAAACAGCATAGCTTACACCTTTAAGTTCTCCATAAACAATAGCATGTATTTATCTTAAAGAGTGTTCCACAGTGTGGATTCATATTCACTGAGCTGTGCTTACTGCTATTGAAATGGAAAGTACTGCAGCCTAAGGTCAGGGCATTAGGAAAGAAAGCAGATCAATGCCACCAAGGATAAATATATTTGTAGCTGCTTTAAACTATAAGCCCAGACATGAGACTGAGATGAAATTGCACACTAAAGAACAAAAGCAACATTCACTTCATGTAAAACTATCTTGTTCCTTGGCATTAATAAAGACAGGGTTTCCTGTGAATAAGAAGAAACCTTTACATTCTGCTAATGTGTGTTGAATGTCTTTTTTCTCATTTCATGGACGGAGTTCTCATCCAGACCACTGGCTCAATGACACTTCATTTAGGTTCACTCAGATGACTCAGAAAATTGAAAACAAAACCGAAAGATTCTGAAACAATGGATACTGACACTCTGTATCATCACTCTGTATCACCAAGGATACATTTTGGCTAATGTGTTTAGGAAATGTAAGGAATAATGAAAAAGAGAGGTCTGTCAGACTTTCACAAGTTCGCACTTTCACAATCAACAGAGGAATGTGTTGTGGTAAGTGTGCTTTAAATTTGAAGCAGTATGCTTCCGCCCTGTAATCCCTGGCCTGTTGTTCAAGGTGCTTGCTGCCCTGAATAAAAAGACATAGAGAACTTGGAAACAATGGGCAACATACTTTTATATTGCTCTTAAAAAGGTCACTGAGGAATTGGTAGTCCCTTCCAAAGTAAATACAAGAAAACCATTTTGCTTCTTAAAACCACATTTTAACACTATTCTTAACAGTCAAACCTTCAAAAACCCTGTTGAAAAGGTCAGAAAAAAACTGCACCAATATCTCTGTGTTGACAACAATGTAATAAAGCAATTTTTGTTCCTTTCAGTCAACTATCTGCTTTACTTGTACATATTTGTATTGGCACTGTCTTTTATCACACACTGGTTCCAGTTATGAATCAGCTCTTCATGCATAATACATGGGCTTCTTATTGCTCCAGAATACGACCTGAAAAAAGAAAATAAGATTTGCAGGATATCCTTTTCTGTTCGGTTTCATCTCTTGAAGGTTTTTTTCTCAGGGATTTGTTTGTGAATAAACAGCCGGAGCCTCTGTGCCCTTGGTCTTTGCAACCACTGGCCTGATGAATTTCATAATCTTTTTTTTTTTCATGATAAGAGTTTCCAAGCAACCTTTCCAGGCCTGATGAGTCACAGCTGAAGAGGTGCACTGGTTTTGATTAATGACTGAGGCGGGGGATGGAGACTAGTTCGTTCTGACACGATCATTTGGCACTGCAGAAGAACCACACTGGCCCTGGTGCTCCCAGGAAACCTAAAAGAGGACTGCCTGTGGAATGTGTTCCTCCCCACTGGGACACACCTGACAAGATCAAGCACTGCACACAAGGAATGACAGCCTGAAAGGTTGGATTGGTAAGGTTGCGCAGGCTGAGATGAGAAGTAGCATAGGACCCTATGTGGTAGTCATCTGTCGAAAATTAGCAAACACTTGTGTTGCAATCCACTGGTGCTCATCAGTTTTAAATACACACCACATTTCCTAACAAGCAATAAAAGCTTCAGCTTCGATGATTGTAGCAAATTGTTGTACACTAGCTCAAAATGCTCTCTCTTCTCAGCAATACGCAAATCTACTTTTTTCTTTTCCTAGAAAGGCATCTGGCTAGGTAATTAAAAAGTAGCAGAGTCAACGTTGTCTTCTCCCAGCAGTTAAAGCAGTGAGTCATGAAGAATATGATTCTGCAGGTGTTTGTCTTCGAAATTGTCATTTGCCCATATGTTTTACTATATTTTACTTGTACCGTGTATAGTGTATAAGAGTCTTGGACATGTGTCTAGCATGTTTTATAGGTCATCACTACGTCTCCAGTTTCAGTCTGAAACAACTTCATAGTGAACAACTGGACAGTTGATTTGTTAAATTAAGTAATTTAGTGTTAATCTAGGACAACACTTTGAGTACCAGTCAACTCACAATAATTGAAGTTCTGCTCGCTGAACAGATTCAAATCCATGAATAATATACAGTACAGGTTTCCAGTCTTTAGCAGCAGGTGACATATAAGACTAATTAGATTAGGAATTTCTAGCATCAGGACTGGAGACCCAAGGTCTAGGAGATAAAAAATAACTGTTGCCAGTGTATAATTAATGCGTCATTGACAGATAACTTGAATAAATAATTAACTTTCTAAATTGTATATTAAAATAATTATTATTAAGTATTTCAAATAAGATGAAACAAGGCTTTAGTGACGATATTAACTTACTAATCAGCACTGACCCCTTGACTGTGGTGGAGTACGGCTTGTAGATCCACTGTGAATTGTTTATAAGTGGTAACATTAAACTGCATGAATATGTGTGTGTCTGTAAATTGAAATGGTTTTGGCAGTCAGCCCAACGGGCAAAAAGAATGATTCATTATTGATTAGAAATCTGGAAAAGTGAAATTGGAAAAGGTTTGTCTGTTCAAAAACCTTTCATGGATGCTTAAGAGATTTTAACTTACTTCTCCCATAACACCTGTCTCCTAAAAAGCAAGGTGATCGTCAGTTGAATTTTTAAAGGCAATGTGTGCCTTGAGATATTATCTATCTCCCTGTGCAGACTAAACATGTGTAAATTCAATTTAGTTTGAGCCACAGCAGTTGTCTCATTCCAACAGGATAATGAATATCAAGCATGTCTTGTTTATATCACCCTGCTTGCTCAGTGAAGGTGGCAACTGACTCTGCTAATCTACTTTTTACTCTGGGTTCTTTTACCTGCCATGTTTTTCTGTTGATGGCAGAGAGAAGAGGCACTAGCTTCATCGTTACCAGCAGTGCTAATTAATCATGTTTTGCACTTGCTTTCTCGTTGTTGATAGCGAGCTCCCACCTTCCAGAGCAGCCTGCTGATGTAGATAGATGGGTAAGCCAGAAAGAAGATTAGTCCAACTGTCTTCAGCAGTCCAATAAATCACTTGGCACGTAATTAAACAGTATGTAGAAAATGATTACCGAGTGGGCTCAGTTCTGCGCAAAACCCATGAAAACTCGCTTCAGAGCATTTGCAAAAACAAGGGCAATTTATTTTAAAACAGGCTCTTTAGTGCCAAATTGCATAATAATTATTTTGAAATAACATGGCAGGCTAAAAGAATATTTCACGAAAAAGTCAAAACTAAGAAACAATGGGATCGTTTAAAAATTCTTTTTGGATTATTTTGGATTATTTTTTTACCAGATGCCGATCATGCAGGACAGCTGCAACTGTGAAACCCAAGGCTGAATAACCAGAGTCATGCAACTGAAAGTATCCTTTGATACACCATTTACAATCCTTTACCTGCTCATAGAAATACTTTTGTGAATATTAATAATTAAATGTGACTAATGAAAACACAAATGAGTGGCTGGGACAAATTCTTTACAGAAACCATCTTTGTGCCTTGACTAAAAAAGATTACTGGTATAGGAGGGGTTGAATTAATAATGCATTAAAATATTGCTTTGATGAGTGTCTCCTTTCTTGTTTAAAGATGTTACTGTGAGTTTTATTCTTAAAATAAATCCCGTTTTAAGCTGACAGGCATTAGAATAAAGAAATAATTTAGGGAAAAAACACAAATGCTTGTCTGAGTTCCCATACATTTACAGTAGCTATCATAATAATTAAACTCAAGAAATGTCTGTTGCACTACGCAGGTCTTAATCTTGAGGTGACAGGGAAAATAATATCTGCAGAAAAACGCAAGACAAACATCTAAAAAGCAAAGAAAAAAGGTATCAATTTTTTGTCTAAAATGATCAATAACCTATTCTTATTTTACTGCAGGTTTTATATCTGCTCAATTGTGGTTTGCTATCCCAATATTAGTTCTTCATCTTCAAAAATCAATGTGCAACTTCAGCGTACTAAATATAAATTGAATTCCATTGGGGATTGGGAACTACACACTACGAATATCTTGGCACACTGGAGCATGATAAGGCAAATTCATTAGTTATTTTTGACAAAGTGTTGCTGTCATTACAGGGAGCAAATTCAGGTCCTGCACATTTCATCAATGTTTAGGAAACAGAAATATTTGTTTTTGTCTGGGAATGTGGTGGCAAAGGTGCAAAATATATTTGACAGAAAATGTTTTATTTAAGGTGGCACAGTGGCGCTGTGGTTAGCATTGCCACCTTATAGGGGGGGTGTTCAATTTCTGACCTGGGGTAGAGTTTGTTTATTCTTTCTGTATGTTCTTTCCTCCAAGTGCTCTGGTTTCCTCCCACGTCAAAAGACATACTGGTAGGCTAATTGGCTTCAGGGAAAATTGGCCCTTGTGTGAGTATGTTCGGGTCTATTCGTGCCCGGTGATGGACTGGGCATCCCATCCAGGGAGTATCCTGGTTTGCGCCTGTTTCTTGATGGGACAGGCTCCGGCTGCCCTGCAGTCCCGTATTGGATAAAGCAGTTCGAAAATGTTTGTTTTATTTAGCAAACAGACGAGGATTGGTGTGCAGTGTTGGTAAAGAAAATAGGCTGCTGGACTTCTTCCTCTGCCTGACAAAAGACAGGTTTATGATTCTGCTGAAAAAGGAAACTAACAAACCGTCAGATCAATGGAACTGTGCGTACAATTCAAGATGAAGATTCCTTGGATTACTAAGAATTTCTCTTTGAAATTGAAGCTATATTTGAAGCTTCTTTACTCTGCCTAGCCTGTATGTCATAAGGCATCATTCAAGGCATGGTATTAATTAATCACATTGTAATCAGGAAATACCTTGCAGAAGAAGCTGATAGGTGCTTTCCCTAATGTAAATTGTAGAAGAAACATAAATTGTTTGTTTTTTTAAATCTACTACTCACACACAACTTCTACCTTTGCAACATAAATACAAAACTGATTAATTCAGAGGTTCAATTCACAAAGTACAAAAATGATAATATATAAAATTATATGATATTATACTTCTAAGCTAAATCTGTTTGTACCTCATAAGGTAACGAATGAAAAAAATCTTTGTCTAATTAAATGCTAGATTTTTCTTTATGATCTCTGTCAAACAGTACAGTTCAGGATTAGATTCATGAAAATGAAGCATTATGTTTCTGATATTCATCCACATAATTTTTAACACAGTTCCTTCTTAGAACAACATTTACTGTTACATTTCCCACTGACTGGAAGGCCAAACAGCATTCTTTCATTTACAAAGAAAATTGATTTATTCTCCAGTCCTCTAAAATAAGAGAGCATCTGTGAGACATGAGGGAATGAGTCAAGCAACAGATAATTCAATTCTACACATTACCCACCTAACTGATGACATGCTCTGCTTGGATTATCTGTACCTTCACCTGCTTGATCAGCAATTGGCATAGCCCTGTTTCTGATATCTAGGGGGTGGATGAGATTGTTGTTATAGAGTTCAGTGACCCTTTCACTCTTAGGCCTTCCAGTTCTAATGCCATATAAAAGACCCATGTGAGAGAAAAATATTGGAAAACTGTGTGCCACTCTGTTAGTTCCATCTTTCCTTACACTGTGTAAAAAGAACATGAACACTGTATGTCACCAGCATTCTAAGCAAAAGAGGCAATTCAAAAAATAATGAATAGAATTAATCTAAACTGCATGGCAGATATGACAAGCGAAGCCATGAGAGTAAAAACCAGTGCTTTAGCATAACACATCAATCAGTGGAGTGGGACATCTGAGGGAGGTTTATACAGACCCGTTAAAAGCAAAGATAAATGTGTACAAATTACCCTTTAATTATTCTGTTTTGTCTGGAACATTTCACATATAATTTCTTAGATCCAGATGTTTATGTATACAGTAAATACAGTATGTATTAACGATTTTCAAGTAGGTGGCAGCTTCCGCATGCAGGGGCTGTAAAGGAATAAGTAAAGGTTTATTTCACACTGAAAAGAAAAGAGACACAAAATTTTGGCTGTGGAGCTTTCTTCGGGTTCTTCATCTGAAGAAGGCTTCATAGCCGAAACGTAATGTCTCTTTTCTTTTCAGTATGTATGAATGATAACTGGGATTATGTCCTGTACAGTCTACAGTGTAGTATATTTTTAAACTGAAGCAATATTCAGCTATACTGTAAAAGGTTTACATTGTAAAGACATTTTTTTAAGAACGATAGAAATTTATGTGCACTGTATGTGGAGAAAAATAAAAGATCTCCAGCTCTGAAGCCAGCCAGTGAAATCTTTTACAGAGTTAAAGTGTCGTAGATGCCACAGAAATAACACCATGGAGAGCAGAGAACTCTCTGGTGTGTCACACTCAGGGAAAGGAATGGATTGACATTGAATGCCGAGGGACTGTGTGCTATTTGAGATGTAACTATGAACTTACTGTATACACTCCTGTAAATTATGAAAGTGTTTCAATATTCCTTTTTTATTCACTGCAGGTTATTCAGTTAAAACTGTATTATTAAGACTGGAGTGTGACCTCCATTTCAGTTCCAAGAATAAATATTCCAATACTTCCCTTTCCTTGAAGCCTTTGTGCACCTCCTTTGACTGGCAAATCTTTAGAATCCAGATACAGTCAGTTCATGCAATATTGAATGGCTGCCTTTTACAGAAATTTTCATTGAAATGAAAAGCTGGAAGGGCAGCATGATGGCGCAGTGGTTAGCACTGCTGCCTTACAGTGCTGGGGCCCTGGGCTCAACTCCTGGGGTGCTATCTGCGTGGAAGTGGTATGTTCTTTCCATCTTTGTGTGGATTATCTCCAGGGGCTCTGGTGGCCTCCCACAGTCCAAACCGATACTGGTAGATCAGTGGTTACTAGGAAAATTGGGGTGAGTGTGTGCGAGTATGTGTCTGTGTCTGACAGCCTGTCCAGGGTGTATCCTGCCTTGTGCTCATTGGTTTCTGGGATAGACTGTGGCCCTGTGACCCTGTAAGGGATAAAGCAATTAGAAGATGGATGAAAACCTTTAAAATAAATTCTATTGGCAACCTGTATACAAAACAAGATGAAGGTGGAAATACTAACCAAAGCTTGATATTGAATCCAAAATGTGTGTACCAAATACCATAATTAAACGATGCATACTGTATGTATTTAATCCAAGTGCAGTCATGAAATTTTATTTAGTAATGGTTAATCCTTAAATAAAGATTCAAGAATTAATTAAATTTATTTAAAGTCAGAGAATTGATCTCCTCCTCCAATAGGGATGCATTCCTTTTCGCTTCCTTGAGAGCTACAGGGTGTAGCTATTTAAATTTCAAATGATACACAATTGCACACCTCACCTGCTTAATTGTTCCAAATGAAACTGTTGTTCTGGTGATTTGGGGGTAATCCATACCAACTTGCTGAACTGGGGCTCTTTAGGACCAGGAGGGGCCCAATCTGCAATGGAGGGTTATCAATGGGTAAAGAAGGTAGACACAAGCAGCCAAGCACATCCACATGGTGAGGATGAAAATGCACACCACCGGACCAAATTTGTCTCCCTCATCAAACCAATAATGAAGAAAAAAGACAATATTGGCGTTTGCATTATAGTGTCAAGCAACTCAATCTGTATGAAGAATGCATTCAGGCAAATAGGTAATGGAGAGACTGATTTTTCTTGCCTTGGGGATTAATACGTCTAAAATCCGTGACCGAATGGGGTCACAGGGAGAATGCGGGACACTGAGTCATTGTCATGCAGCGAGTGTGGCTGACACAGCAGGGCCATTTCACCACTTGAGCAACAGAACACATTGAATATAAATAGGCTTATTAAGGAGGAATGGGCCAGTTCCATCCACAAGAGTCTATAGAACAATACAGAGCCAGAAGTGCAATTGGCTCTGGAACACAAAGATTCCAGAGTGTGTGTGGTGTAGGACTGTGTGGCATGGCTCACAGAAGGCTAAGCAACACCTAAGGAAAAATGTCTTACAAATAAATCATCACAATCTCTGTGCTGATGCTGCTCTAAGAAGAGAAGAGAGACAACATCAAAGTGCAGGAAGACAATGCATCAAAAGTACATCACCATCCACAGGACCGCTTACTGCACAACTGACATTAAAAAAAATCATTAAGGAGTTTTTTTGGTTAATATAAACAAGCTTTCACAGTCTTTTCACAGTCAATTGTCCGTTTCCCCCTCTTGTGCTAAAGAGGCCACGAGAAAGAAACGTGAGAGCTGGAAGCATAAGAGCAGTAACATAACCTGGCTTCTCTTCTCAGTTACCATGACTGCATTTTTATGATACAGAGAGTGGCACTGATGCTTGTGCAGTGACAAATTGTTAAAAGTACAGTAACATGCTATCAAAAGGAAATACATACTTCCTCTGTTTTGAAAATCTGCCAAGATAAAATAATTAACAAAAACAGCCTCCATGGTAATGTGGTTGTTGTATTAAAAACATTAACACCCAATAAAGCACTTTTTCCTTTTTTCAAGAGCTGCTGTGGAAAAGATTTGTGATTGGCTTCAGCTCATTGTTCACAGCTGTAAGTGCCCTGTTGCCTAGCTCTAGTTCAAAACTGAAAAATATATATTTATTTTAGATATATTTATTGGGTCATTGGTTTTAAATAATTTGTCATGTGTAGGTACATACCAGTCACAAAAAATACCAACTGACAAAAGGAACTTTCCTTTAGTTGTATGAAATTTTACATTTACATTCTTATGTTTTTATTTTTCACAAAAGACACACACACAAAAAAACATAGCAAAACAAGAGAAAGAAGAAAATACTTTCCAAACCCTGAGACTTCATGGAAGACCAGGTAATATAGATACAGAAGGAAATTTTCATTTTTTTATATCAGATAGAAAAATAAAATGAAAAATGAAAGATTTCCTTCACTTGCACACAAGAAAACCCATCCCATAATACCTACCCCTTGAGCAGGAGAAAAGCTGGCAACTCATAAAACATTGCAAATAGACTATAGATGTTGGTGACACTTGATGAACATACACAGTCATTTTCACCCCCCACACTTTTCAAACAGCCATATACGGTTTGTGTGGAACTTTCCAAACTGTGCCATTGCAGCAGACCTGGTCCTAAGGACAGAGAATCTCTGAATTTCCCTGTGGGATTCTCAGAACTCTGTGTGAGCCAATTAGCTCAGGGCATTGCTTCTGGACTACAAAGGGCAGGCAAACCACAGCTAATTGGTAATAAGATTTAACCACAGGGCACTTGCATGACTATAACCTTGGCACAATTACGAAACTAACTATTCAATAATTTGCCTTGAAGGCACTGTGCTGCAGGTAAGGAAAAGTATTTGATGAACAGTTGGGGGGAAAACATTAAGAAAATATTTACTTGCCAGGATGGGCTCTGGCTCAGCTGTGACCCTGAAATGGAAAAAAAGGTTTAGTAAATGGAAGGCTGGATTGATATTTACTTCAGATTTCAGACAGTAACTTAATAAAGTTCTTAATAAAGAAATATTCCAAAACACACTTGTGGTAATTCTTACAGAAATAGGTTATATTGGATTCAAATTCTAATGTATTGGATCCAAAAATAGGTCATCGTAAAAAAAACATTACAATCAAATTTTATGAGGAAATAGTTTGCCACCTTTTTGTCTCCATAATCTGTCACACTTGTATTAATTCCCTTTTTTTCCCACAACTCATACAAAAAAGTATTTCGCTTTCCATTTTATTGCAGAAGTAATTTCTTGTACACATGGTAAAAAGTCCCTGTCATTACAATGCTCAGGGTGGATAGGAGGTGTCATGTTCTATTGTTACACTAACTCAGCAGGCAAATATAACCTTTTCAGTAAAGCATACTGTAATTAATAAGAGCGAACCCCTGTATTGTTCTGAATGTGTGACTCATTATCTAGACATTATTCCATATTTTGAAACTAAAACACCACACATTTTATTGAGATGTCCAAACAGTGCTATTAGATGTGATAAGTTCAAAACATCAGAATCTCCCACCCAACAATGTTGGGCTTCTGTGAGGTGCAGGAAGAACCCGAAGAAGATGTGGAATGTATTCTGAAATACTCCCAGCACAATCGCATCCGATTCTCATCGCGGCTTGGCCTTCAGTTGACCTTCAGTTTCAGCAATGTGGATAATGGTGTGTGGGATTGAAGTGGGATATCTTACTCGTTCCACCAGCTTTCGACAGGACTGAGACATGAGGAAAAGTTCATGAAGTTCAAGCTCCTCAGAGAGCTGTGCACTGATCACCACAGAGTCTATTTATGTTACTGGGGGTTGCTCATTTCTGACTGGTGAGTGTACTTTGAAAACCTTAGGTATTCTACCCCGACTATAGTCAGTAACCCCCAAAATGACACCCCCAAAACCCCCAAAGTAAGGTTTGTTAGGTTTGATAGACTGAAAAACTGTAAAGTGCATTTGATGCATGATAAAGTGGCATGGTTTTAAAAGTTTCAAAGTAATGCATGGTAAACCCGTCAAGCCCTCTATTTTATTCTTGAGAACAAAAAGGAGGTGAGGACTGTAGGTTTTGTCTAGTACACATACTGAATGGCTTATGGCATTTTTTAAAATGTTTCCTCTCCTCTCCTTCTGCTGTAGCTCTCAATGTTCTCTCAAGGGATTCCCTGCTGTGTGTTCACATGGTCTAACGGCTGTCCTTTAATCAAACTGGTTGGAAGCCAGTAGATCTGCCAGTGATGTCATCTCCACAAGAAGAAATTGGTAGCTTCTCTGTCAGCGTCCTCTTATCACAGTATCAGTTAAATACATGTGCTAGGCTTATACTGTACACTTGGAACTGTATGTAATTACACTGAATGGCATCTGCATGTAGCCCATCCCCAGTGATATGTTGTATAAAGAGCAGAAAAAAACAGTCCTTTCTTTTTATACATGTGCAAAATAATGTTGCCTGTTTATGTACAGATTGCTGCAGAGTAACATCCAGTCATCTGCTCTCACAAGGACATTAGACTGTCCTTCCTTGCTCAGGAGTACCTTTACTAGCTACTTAATCATTGCACTCATTGAGCAACCATTTGGCTCATTGACTTTCAATACTCTAAAAAAATCACTTGTTTTCTGAATCTCCTGAATTTGATTAAAATAGAATTCCCTTTCCTTTGAATAGTCAAATATTTGGGCTATTTCCACTTGATGTGACCACTCATATCTTCCTTTACACTATGGGCTGTTTTAGTGACGTGTTGTTCTCTTGATAGTGTTGTTTGTGAGACAAGAATAATGCTTCTTTAAAACCCACCCGATTAATGACATACATTATTAGGGTCTGCAGCACTCCAGTTGCTGTAGCTGTGCTGTCATTTGCTGGAGAGGTAGACAGTGAAATGAGCCTGTCTTGTGCTGCTGGCTACAGAAAGCACTGATGCTTGTCAGGAGTATGCTGACCTAATTCACACAACAGGGCTGTCATCTGCAATGGGCAGTATCTGCTGAAAACATTCAATGAACTGTGCAAAATGAAAAAGGAGAACAGAGAAATAACTTGAGTCGCCCAATGTCTTGAGAAGATTGTTTTTCTGTGCAAGAGACGATACACGGCCCCTGTATGTCACATGCTTCGGGATTCTCTTCTCACTCAGAGCCTATTTTTAAAAGAGATGTTCACAGCAGGTGACTCATTCCCCTCATGAATAATAATCACTCTTCATTCAGAAAGAACATATTCAGCTGACAGTGAGAACAAGCCAAACTATAAATAAGATCTCCAAAGATTTCTCCTGTCTGGCTTTTTTACTCCAAACTAAAGTTCATAGCATTGCACATACTCTAGTGCCTGCTCAGTCTTGTGGACTGCTGCCCTGGGCAAGGTCAATAACTTAAAATCACAAAACAGGGCATGTCTGTGATGTACAAAACGTTTATATAAGGATATGTTTTTATTTTTATATGTTTAGCAGTGTGAAATAGAAATCAATCAAGATTGAAGCCAAAGGATCTAATTATCCTTTTACATAGTAGTTTTTTTTTACTACATATTCAGCTTCTCAAATGTCAGGATCTTCCATTCATAAAAGACTCAAGAGTGTATGGATAACATGGACGTGACTCGGAATTTTAGCAAGTCTGACTGTCTGTAAACAACGATTTAGTATTACATATTCCAGTCTCTGTGTCCATATATAAAAATTATTGTTAGGATTGATATCATATCTGAAATTAATTTATGGCACATGAGATTCAGTGTGATTTGTGGGTTTTGCAAGACAGAAGAAATGAAGCTTTGCATTTTAGATGTCTTTAAGTGATTGTTTTGTTTATCTTGTACTCAGAAGCAATGTCTCTCTTATTCTAGTAGACCTGACAGGGCATATCACAGTTACAGTTACTAACTGCAAATATGGCGCACTAGGGTCATGTCTGTTTTTTGTAGAATTATATCTTTTTAGGTGAATTGAATGAGACTGACATTAAGAAATGATTGTATTGTGTGTAGCAGTGTACTGTATGTTTGTGATAATATTTTATTTAATGTCAGAAAAGGAAAACTGAATTCTACAAGCTGCCCTTTGCAGTTGGCCAGATAAGGAAACTTCCGTCAGTTCTATCTACATATTATGTAAATATTTTTTTGCTTTGGTAGATGTAATCATTCAGGGTGACGTACAATATATCAAAATTTCATTTATCGTGGACATGTTGGTGTGAAGAAAGATTTGAAGAGCTAGTATGCCAACTTGGAAAGGTAAAAGGCTCTTTGAATTCTGACAAAGAGCTGTGTTCAGGAAGCTAAGACAGGCTTCAAAATGCTCCATATATACTCTTAAGTCATATAACTGTTACTGTGTTTCTATCACTAAGAAACATTTACACTGTTCCATTTCCCCCGAGATTGTCTGTGTCCAAACTGAGCGTAAAGTTGTCTGTCTTCTACAAAATGTACAATGCTCAAACAGAAAACAATCTTTTTAATGCTTCAGTCTGGCAGCTACATCAGATCAAGCGCATACAAGGGATAAAACTAAATTTCTCTTGTATAGTTTCAAGACTCCTTGAAAATAATATTACACTACTAGACTCTGTCCATAGTACTGAATTTTAATTTGTTTTTCATTTGTCTTAAGAAACAGAGAACTGTTGCCTTAAAAATCAGACCTCTCTTTCATTATACAATTGAGATTTCATGATTATTTTAGATCAAGAATAATGTGCAATGCGTGCATGTAAAAATCGAATACAGTGTACATTTTTATAGAAATAACTAAAAGAAAGGATGCAGTATTATTTAATGTAAGCAGTTTCAGGTGAAATATAACTTGCGGCACTGTTTGTTTTAATAATGCATGGCTGCTTTCAACACATGCTCCAGTAGACTTAATCTTCTAAACTAGATAAGACAATTGAGAACAGATTTCTCAATTTGGGGATTTATTGGGGGCATTTTGAGTAAAGTGTCTGGCTCAAGGATATAACAGCAACATCCCACCTGGGAACTGAACCCACAGCCCTCCACAGTAGAGCGAAAAGCCCTTAGGATCTACACCACACCAATCACCCCTGGGCCACTAATAACACATTAGCAATTCACCACTGCAGCTTTCTCATTAGGTTCTTTTAATGTTATGGAAGAACTACAGTGACATAAATTAGTGTACCTTGTTCATATGAACAACATTCTCATCTTATAAAACTTTTCTTTTAGTGAAAAAACTAATTAACTTTGTTCACTGCACAGAACAACATGTCTTTGTCCCTTTCTTGTAGGCTTCAAGGGTAAGTGAGTACTGAACTAAGAAACATGTACACTGTTCCATTGCTGTGTTAGAAACAAAGAGACAAATTACAGCCTTTGTTTCCTTTCATCAAGACATAAATATACATAGACTCCAATGCACAATAAAAACAGGTTTACAGCAGT